AAGGCGGACTTGCAGGCCTGAGGACAGCTTTTTAAGGCGGGGACACCACCTTCCCGTGTTTGACCAGCTCCTCCAGCAGCACTCCGTCAGGGACGAACGGCGGAACGTTCGCCACCGTCACCCTGACGGCCGGCACCGCGAGCGGAAGAACGGGCACGTGCGCCCCGCGGACCACCACGCCGCTCGCCACCACCTCGCGCGCCTTCTCCACACTATCTACAAAAATGACCACCGCGCGGTTCATCCACGCGGCGGACTTTACGCTCCCGTGCCCAACCAACCCCCCCACGGCCAGACCGCAGTCCTCCACGGAGCACGCGAAGCCCGGCGCGAGCTTCACGCCGTGCTTCCGCGTCAGCCCCGTGAGGTCCGACATGCCGACCGGCTACAAACGCAGACAAAAACACATAAAAAGAAAGAAAAGTCACACGTACACACCAACACGCATTCACCCCACAACGCACACCAGCAACCACGCCGAAAAATACACGAGATAACAGGTAGAAAACACATCCAAACAATTCACCTCACGCTCCGCACACTCAGCACTCCTTCCGCTCAGAGAGAGAGAGAGAGAGAGAGAGAGAGAGACACAGAGAGAGACAGACAGAGAGACACAGAGAGACACAGGGAGAGACAGACAGAGAGACACAGGGAGAGACAGAGAGAGACACAGAGAGACACAGAGAGAGACACAGGGAGAGACAGACAGAGAGAGACACAGAGAGACACAGAGAGAGACAGACAGAGAGACACAGGTCACTCAGGGACGTCCCAGACGTCCACTAGGTGGAGCTGTTTGTGTGTTTACCTGTTTACAGCCACACACCTTTCCTAACAGCCAGCGGGGTCTGATTCTCCTCACGTGTCCTCTGACGAGCCACCAGGGGTCTCTCGTCATAACAACATCTGCATCATGTCTTCATGTCTGCACGTCGGGTTCAACAGCAATGGACGTCTCTTTGGATTAATCATCTGCTCCATCGATCAAATGAAGTTCTGCTGTTCCGTCTCCCTCCCTCCAGACTTTGTGAATGTTTGTGTTTTTCAGCTTTGAAAACAAAGATCATCCGTTCCGTTGACGTGACGACGCCTCCGTGATTCACAGGCGGCGAGCTATTTAAAGAAGGCATGAGCTCATGTAGCGATGACGTCATCACTCCGGCGGAGGGAAGAAGCCCGACGTCTGATGGGAGCAGGAAGTGAGACCGTGCGACGTCATGGCGACCAGCTGCTTCTGTGACTTTGATCTCTTTGAAGGCTGTAGAACCCTCAGAGGACATGGTGGCCGTTTGACAAATTAAGCCAAAGTTCTAGGGTTTTTTTCTGAGGGAGCAAAGAGGAACCGATAGTTCTCGTTCTCCTTCTAGTTCTCCTATAGAACGGATGAACCCCAAAATCTGAAGAACCTTTTTGAAACACCTCTTCAGAAGCTGTCAATATCCTCTCTGAGATTCACAGAACCTCTTAAAATAACCCTCTTTGGATCTGCCCCGTAGAACCCTATCTGAACAGCAATAACAACCTCTTAGAACCTGAAACTCTTGTTCCTTGTCACCAGAACCCGTTGAATCCGTTGATTTGTTTACTGTCCATCTAACCTTGTCATTTCTAAATCCAAACGCACTGTAAAAAAACCCTCATATTCCTTCCAGAACTCTTTAGACTCTCAAAAATAACCCCACAGAAAATCCACTGAATCTCTGAATCATTTAGATCTCAGCTCCTTCACAAAGGAACCCTTTTATTCTCCTCAAGACTACCTGAAGTAAGCTGAAGGTCCTGAGACTCATTCCTCGGTGAAACCACAATGACAGACTGGAGGAAAGAGGGGGCTGATGGGTTTGGAAATGAGAGGGTCACGCTTGGAAGAGAAGGTTTTTTCAGGGCGATGACAGGATGACTGTGAGGATAACAAAGAGGACCTTCTCAAGCAGATGTCTTAAGTTAGAACCAGGAGGGCCTGGTGTTTAACCTTTTCGGGCTCGTGGGAAATTATGCTTGTTAGAGGCCACTCTTGGTCTTATCCGTCGCCATCTTGGTTTCTATTTGTCAACATCGTGTTTATTTTCATCCACATTTGAGATAATGGAGGTTGATCCAACTGAACACTGGTCAAAACAACTGAGGACAAATATCAACTTTGATGAACTGGAAACAAACAACAAAGTTAAAGCTGTGACAAAAGAGATTAGAGACCTGTCAATCAACGTGTAGCCCCGCCCTACAGCATCCCCTGCTTCATGGTCTGTTTGACTCTAAATGGACCATAAGTCACTAAATGAACATCATGTTGTGTTGAAGAAGACTTGAAACTAGAGACTGAGACCATAAACTCATGTTTACAATGTTTACTGAGGGAATAAATCAAGGGAGAAGTAGAGTCATTTCCTCATAGACGTCTATGGGAGCAGAGGAGTCGCCCCCTGCTGGTCACTACAGAGAAGTAGAGTCATTTCCTCATAGACGTCTATGGGAGCAGAGGAGTCGCCCTCTGCTGGTCACTACAGAGAAGTAGAGTCATTTTCTCATAGACGTCTATGGGAGCAGAGGAGTCGTCTCCTGCTGGTCACTACAGAGAAGTAGAGTCATTTCTTCATAGACGTCTATGGGAGCAGAGGAGTCGCCTCCTGCTGGTCACTACAGAGAAGTAGAGTCATTTCCTCATAGACGTCTATGGGAGCAGAGGAGTCGCCCCCTGCTGGTCACTACAGAGAAGTAGAGTCATTTCCTCATAGACGTCTGTGGGAGCAGAGGAGTCGCCCCCTGCTGGTCACTACAGAGAAGTAGAGTCATTTCCTCATAGACGTCTATGGGAGCAGAGGAGTCGCCCCCTGCTGGTCACTACAGAGAAGTAGAGTCATTTCCTCATAGACGTCTATGGGAGCAGAGGAGTCGCCCCCTGCTGGTCACTACAGAGAATGCAGTTTTGAGACACTTATACAGGGGTTTGTACGTCTACTTCTCCTTCAGGTCTCATTCATAATGAGGTTATTAAACATCTGAATGAGAACCTGGAAGCTCTCCCTCTGGCTCCCCAGCCGCGAGGTGAAGGACAACGTTTGGAAATCTTGAGGGTGGAATATTTCACCACAGAAATGAGACCAGGAACAGGGAATACGATGAGACGAGTCATGATTTGTGATGTCATGTTGACTGGAGCCCCGCAGACAGACTAAACAGATCCAGACCTTCAAACAGACAGGAGACCAACTCAGCCCACCGAGGGAGGGGGGCTGGGAGGAATCCCAGCTCTGCTCCATTAACAGAGGGGAGGGAGGGAGAAGGTAGAAGTTGCAAGTGCTGTGAGTCACAGATGGGAGGGGACTGGAGTGGAGAGAGAGAGAGAGAGATGGAGGGGGGGAGGGCAGAGGTATATTATGGTAGGAGGCTGCCTGGGCGAGAGAGGGAAGTAAAGAAAGAGAGAGCGAGTCCAGCCCCCTCCGCTAAAACCATTCAACTGGTGAGCGAAGAAGCATTCACCACTGAGACAGAGACAGAGAGACAAACTCCCTCCGTCTGGGACAACTTAGTGGACACCAGGAACCAAGATCTCCAGAGTTCTCCTCTATATTCGTCTTCTTCTCTGGCTCGTAACGCCTCCACGTTCGGCCATCTGCCACAGAGACCAAAGAAACCAAGAGAGACCAGCAAGACCAGGAGAGACCGGTGTGACCAAAGGGACCAGAGAGACCAGGAGAAACCAGCAAGACCGGGAGAGACCAGCAAGCACACTAAGGCCAGTAGAGACCACAGAGACCAGTGAGACCAGAAGAGACCAGGATTACTCATTCCTCTCCCTTTTTTCTGTCCTCCATTCGGCTCTCACAGGTGGACTCTGGGCTCCAAACTACTGTGGTAGACAAAGGTGGAGCAGAGCAGACCTGATTTTAAAGCCAAACTCAACCCGCTCTGAGCATCCTCCGCCAACCAGCCAGCCAATCAGGAGCCCCCGTGTCATCATGTCCGTCTGGGCTCTGCTGGGCTGGACCCTCCTGGTCCTGGTCCAGAGCTCCAGCTCCAGCTCAGACCCGCTGTCCCTCCCTGATCGCCCGGACGCCGCCTCCGGCTCCCACTGCCCCTCCTGCGCCCTGGCCCGGATGAGGAGGAGTGAGGGGGGCGAGACGGCGGGCCCTGAGCAGGAGGAGCATGAGGAGGCTCAGCAGGAGGTGGTGGAGGCGGTGAAGAGGCACATCCTCAACATGCTGCACCTCCAGACCCGGCCCAACATCAGCAGGCCCGTGCCGCGCGCCGCGCTCCTCAACGCGCTGCGCAAGCTCCACGTCGGCCGCGTGGCCGACGATGGCAGCGTGCAAATCGAGGGCGAGGAGGAGGCGCGAGGGAGGGGGGGCAGAGGAGCAGGAGGAGGAGGAACCATGGCATCGAGAACGGGGGACGGAGGAGACGCGCAAGAGACAACGGAGATCATCACCTTCGCCGAGGCCGGTGAGTGTGTGTGTGTGAGTGTGTGTGTGTGTGTGTGTGTGTGTACAAATGCTGTGTAAATCCAGTTTATTTGTGTTTGTGGCGGAATCTGAAACAGGTACCTCTGTGTTTGTGTGTGTGTGTGTGTGTGTGTGTGTGTGTGTGTGTGTGTGTGTGTGTGTACAGCTTCTTAATTCCACCTGCGTACACACACACCTGTAATCGCCTCCTGCTGGTTTTTAAAGAATACCTCGTTATCTGCTTAGAGAAGGAGACTAATTTGTGTGTGTGTGTGTGTGTGTGTGTGTGTTGCTTCCCTCTCCGACACACTGTGGAGACAAAGAGGGATGAAGACTTGCTTTAACAGTCAGACTTGGACCCTTTAAATTAGGTCACTGAGGGGTCACTGAGGGGTCACTGAGGGGTCACTGAGGGGTCACTGAGGTGGTCCAGTGTGTCTGAGGTTAGGTTGACATCTCACATCTTCATTGTGTAAACTGTCCTCATATTGTCGTGTTGGTTATTGAGTAGTAGAAGATTTCAATGATCATGATTCATCTAGTATTGAATGGTGTTCCTGTAGAACATCTCAGTGGGAATTCTGTGTTATTGAGCTGAACTCTTTAACCCCGTCGGGGAACAGTAGGAACCCATCTAGGGCCCTTCTAGGACCTTTCCCAGAACCCTTCTAGGACCTTTCCAGAGCCCTTCTAAAATTCTGCAAGAACCATTCAAGGACCCTTCTAGAGCCCCTCTGGGACTCTTCTAGAACGATTCTAGGACTCTTCTAGAACCATTCAAGGACTCTTCTAGAGCCCCTCTGGGACTCTTCTAGAACGATTCTAGGACTCTTCTAGAACCCTTCGAGGAACCTTACGTTCTGCAGGTGAATTCGGGTATTAGCTATTTTGAACCGGCCGGAGCGTGTTCTCCTGTGAGAACCTTCTAGACCCAGCTAGGCTGCTGCATTGTGCACAGCAAGCGACGCGTTCAGGGACCTCGGTGTTCACGGCGGGTGGGGAGGGGGGTAGGAGTGACGGGATTGTCGACCTCCGCCCGGCGGCTGGGACACAAAGTCCGTCTGTCCGTCCTCACACATAGACGACAGGCGGGCTAATTGGACCTAATGGTTCCATCATTAGGAACATTCCAGCTCCCCTGATCTTTGACCTCTGAGGAACCGTTCTTTGTTGGGTCCGGGCTTCTAAACAGCGACCCGCTTGATGGACGGCGGGTCGGCTTGCTGACTTCCTTTTCTTCTTCTTCTCCATGGTGGTGCGTTCATGGTCGCGTGTGTAATTTAGGTATCTGAGATGAGGAATCGTGACTCGGCAGGTTAACGGACCTTCTCATCTTTAGGACCCGACGCTCCGGATCCATCCATGGTTGAAACCATGAAAGATGATCAGCAGATATAGACTGATACTCTCACTCCTCCTCCTCCGTCCTCCTCCTCTCTGTGCTGTGATCCCACGGATCCGTGAGCCCCTCGGCCCTTTTCTCCTCCTCAGCTGATGATGAGGAGTCATCCAGGTTCCTTTAGAGCCTCCTGACCACTTTGGTCCACGGCTGCTTTGACGGTGTGTGTATCGAGACCTGCATCCTGACACGTCTTCACGGATCAGATGTTTCTTGGGTGTTAGAACCTTCCCCTGGACTCACTCTGCAGACCTCTGTGTGTGTGTGTGTGTGTGTGTGTGTGTGTGTGTGTGTGTGTGTGTGTGTGTGCGTGTGCAGCGTAGCATGCTAAACATGAGCCAACGTTGTCACACACACACCCTCAGCGTCTCTTCTCCCCGTCTTCCTGCCGGTGGAGCTGGTGAAGCTGCGTTTTGGAGATGATGTCAAAGAGAAACTAAAGATAAATTGACGGAGTGTTTTTTAATCAATGTGCAATAAAACACAATAAAATAAAACACACACACACATCTACACGCACACAGAGAAACACACACAAACACACCGACACAGGGAGGTTTGCTCAGCCTGTTGAACTCATTGAGGAGGGATTATGATGGACAATAGAGGACGCACACACACGGCTCCATCTGTCCAAACACACACGCTGTGTGTGTCTCTGTTAGTGCGTCTTGGTGAAGTGTGTACCGCCTCCGGTTCGTTTCAGCCGCCGATCTCCTCTGGGAGGCGACGCCCACTCGTTTAGGTGCTCTAGATGTTCCAGGTGCGTTGGGGGGCTCCAGGTGCATTCTGGGACTCCAGGTGCGTTCAGATGTTCCAGGTGCATCTACTCGTCCATGTCCTCAACAGGAGAGGTTGTTGTTGGTTTTCTGACACACGATGGGATTCAGTAGGAGGACAAAGATGTGTGTGTGTGTGTGTGTGTGTGTGTGTGTGTGTGTGTGTCTGTGTGTGAGCCTTTTAACAACATACCAGGTCATCTTGTTTAGCTTTGTTCGTCTGATAAATCAAATCAAAGTCATAATACGCCACAAGGGCCGATGGGAGAATTGTGAAATGTTTGGAGGAGGTGATGAAGATGATGAAAGTGATGAAGGTCTGAACCGGGTTCTAGTGGGTTGAACCGGGCTTTTCTCGTTGCTGCTTGATGGTTTCAACTTTATTCAAAGGTCTGATTGTGACATCACAAACTGGACCCGCTTGGTCCTGGTCCTGATGGTTTGAGCTCCATAAACCACAAGACGTAAACAAACAAAATGACCTCTGATGACCTAGAACAGATTCTGTGGTATTCTTGTGTTTTCGGTCCGGTTCGATCCACCGGCCAGAACTCTGCTTCATGAGAGACACGTTGGTTCGTGAACCTCGATGGCGAAGAGAGACGAGCTGTGAGGAGACGACTTGCAGAGCTCGGACCAACTCCAGGATACAGGAACTCCTCTTCATCACCTTCAGCGTCTCAGACGGCATCTCTCTCTAGTGTCTGAGAACCTCTACAGCAACAAACTCCTCTTTAACTCTGCAGCTGAAGCTCCTTTTCCCCGCTTCACACGGGTGGCCAGTGAACGCCTCGTGGGAGCCGGAGCCGCGAGACACTAACAAAATAATCCCCTTAATCTCTGATGTTAGCGTCCATATTCACCCTTCATCCACAAACACGTAGCCAGACTCTGCAGGGAGAGAATTCCTGGCTGAAGCCATTTAGCCCGAGCAGCTGATGCCTTCACGTGCATCGGTAATTTGGAGCTCCTGTGGAAATCACAGGCCGTTCTTTTGGTCCCCATCAGAGCGTTTGACGACGCTTCGCCGCGTGTTTGAAGCAGTTTGAAGCCGCTTGAACCACTTTACTCAAGTTTGAACCGGTTTGAAGTGGTTGAAGCGGTTTGAGGCTGCTTGTTATTCTGGGAATCAGAGAGGAAACAGATGCATTGGGTCATCAGAGCTGGTCAGAATAAAGCACAGCAGATCGTCTTCTTCCTCCTCTTCCTCAGCAGCTTGAGTCAACATCACACGCTATTCTGAACTCGTCTTATTTCTTACACGCCGCGATGATGGAAGTGAGATAATCGCCTTCAACGCCGTTAATGGATTTGCTGAAGAGCCGCCGCCCCCGCCGCCATTCACCGAGTCACAGATCGAGACTCGGACTTTCTGCTCGGACGCCCACGAGCGAGCGACATTACAGGAGGGAGGGGGGGGACAGACAGACAGGCAGACAGACAGACAGATCTTATGTAATGTTGCTGGACTATAAGTGTCTTCAACCCGGTGATTAGCTCGCTGTGTTGCCTGGAGGTTTCTGCAAAATACAGGTCTGCACACAAGTAAGTGTGTTTGTGTGTCTGTGTGTGTGCGTGGCGGAGGGTGTGGTTGTGTGTGTGCTCTGCAGTGTTTGTTGTAGGTTCACAAGGCATTGAATGAAGAAGTCTTTGACCAATCAGGCGTGAGCTCTTCATGATCACATGACTCCTCCTTAAATCACCTCCATCTTCAGGTTGAAACCTGCAAACGTCTACCCCTCCAAAATAAAAGTCTCTCCTCCTGCTCAAGACTTGTAGCTCTTGAGAAGTTTTCCATAATCCTTTGAGCAGAACTGTTTGCTCACTTCTGGTGGAAACGATTACCGCCGACCGCTGCCGAGTCAGCGCGCGTGTGTGTGTGTGCGTGTGTGTGTGTGTGTGTGCGTGTGTGTGTGTGTGTGTGTGCGTCAGCTGAAGGTCTCTCTGCACAGTGATTAGTTTGGTGTTGCTTCCTTTCTCCACCTGGTTACCCGTTGCCACGGTTACCTGCTGTGTGGTGCGATCGGAGCCAATCAGAAAGCGGTTCTGTTGTCCTAACCCCGCCCCTCTCTCCCTCTCTGTGTCCCAGGTGAGTCTCCCGGCCTGGTGAGCTTCGTGCTTTCTAAGGACGGAGGCGACCTCTCTCTGGTGGAGCAGGCTAACGTCTGGCTCTTCCTCCGCCTCGCCAAGACCAACCGCAGCCGCGCCAAGGTCACCATCCGCCTCTTCCAGCAGCGCCACCCCCCCGTCGGGCGCCCGCCCTCGCAGCAGGACGACGTCCTTCTGGCAGAGAAATCGGTGGACACGCGACGCAGCGGCTGGCACACCTTTCCTGTTTCGGCGGCGGTGCAGGCGGTGCTGCAGGGCGCCGGTGGCGCCGCACTGAGCCTCCGTGTCACCTGCCCACTCTGCGCCGACGCCGGCGCCACGCCGGTGCTGGTCTCCGGCGGGCCCGAGGCCTCGCGGGGCGCCAACCAGCGGGAGCAGACCCACCGGCCCTTCCTCATGGCCGTGGTGCGGCCGGAGGACGGCAGCGGCTCGCCGCGGCGCAGGAAGCGCGGCCTGGAGTGCGATGGGAAGGTGCGCGTTTGCTGCAAACGGCAGTTCTACGTCAATTTCAAGGACATCGGCTGGAGCGACTGGATCATCGCGCCACCCGGCTACCACGCCAACTACTGCGAGGGCGAGTGCCCCTCCCACGTGGCGAGCATCACCGGCTCCTCGCTGTCCTTCCACTCCACCGTCATCAGCCACTACCGCATGCGGGGCTACAGCCCCTTCCAGAACCTGCGGTCGTGCTGCGTGCCCACCCGGCTGAGGGCCATGTCCATGCTCTACTACAACGAGGAGCAGAAGATCATCAAGAAGGACATCCAGAACATGGTGGTGGAGGAGTGCGGCTGCTCGTAGGCGGGGCCGAGGGGAGCTCCGCCCTTTAGGGAATCAAACTCCAAGTCTCCTCGGCACTTTCAGAAAAAAACAAAACAAGAGAGTATCTAATATATTTTTGTTACAAACGGGGGAAGCGACGCGTATTTATGATTTATGAGACGAAGCGCCTGAAGATTAAAACTATGCAACTTGTTTCATGTATCACAGACTTTACTTTCTCTCTCCTTTTGTTTGCTTTTATTGTTCAAATGTACGAGGAAGTAGTTTGACTGTGTGTGTCTGTGTGTGTGTGTGTGTCTGTGTGTCTGTGTGTGTGTGTGTGTGTGTGTGTCTGTGTGTGTGCGTGTGTGTGTGTCTGTGTGTGTGTGTGTGTGTATTGACAGAGATACTTGAAAGAAACAAGTTTGCCTGGCTGCTGGAACCAAACACTTCTTCATGTTGCCATGGTTACCATGGATGGTATTATTATTGTAATTATCATTATTGACAGTAAGTATATAAATAATATTATTGTTATTATTATTGTTGTTGTTGTTAATACTTTTGTTTGGCTGTATTTGTTTTATTATGTCGAATTATGTTTTTCTTTTAAAGAAACGTTACAAACGTCTTTATTATTTTTTGCACTATAGCGACAATAGCCGGAGGTCACATGTTTATGCTAAGCTAGTTGATAGTTGATGAACAGATGAATGTGGCACTAAAAGTAGCTCCAAGCACGTTTGTTGCAGTGGAAGATGAGATGCTCTGATGGATTTGACTCGTTGAGTTTAGTGAACCTTCCCAATCGCTGAACAAACCTAGTAGAGAAGTAGAACAAACCTTTTTAATGTCTTTGCTCTATGGATGTAGTTTATTAATTGGTCACTGTGCCCTAAATCGGTTGCGAAAGCCGGCATTGCCCTGAACCGGTCATCTGCGGCGTGCTGCTGATTGACACGTGTCAAAGAGTCGTCAAAGAGTCGTACGTGTCAAATGTCAGAAATATAAATAAATAATTACTACAGGAAAGTTAATTTGATGAGAGAGACTAGTAAGAACACCCGGGCGATGATTTGCAGGTGTGGAAGGTTATGCTAATGCTATATGCTAATGCTATAAACAACCAATTTAGGACCCAGTGCCGTTAACTGAGCATGATTAGCAGACCCCAGAAGCACGTAACTTACCAACATGCTTTATTTCTTCATAAATCACAGCTCTTTGTCCGGTTCATGCATTTGTCTTTGTTCCTTAAGTTGTCCCTTAAAATCATTAATTAACAGAAATTCCTCTAAATGAATTATGGTTCACAGGGTTTTCCTGATTTACTCTCGGAGTACTGACCTAATGACTTAAACGGCCCTATTCTAAGAACCATTGCAGATTAATAGAACTATTAAAGGTAAGAGGCAAAGAGTCGAACCCAAAGCTGATGACTCAACGGTTTCATGAGCTCTGGACGGATTTGTTTTTTGGAGCGAGCCCAAAGATGGAAGAAGACTTTCTGAGGCCGTTTATCGTTGGTAGTTTGCTTTAGAACACCAAAGAGTCCATTTTGTTTGCCGTGTTGCATTCAATGTCCATTTTGTTGGAAAATCCAGTTTAGTTCCTCTGAAGTCTGTAAGAAGAGTATTTAAAGACGAACCTTCTGATTATGAAGTTTTATTTATGCTTTTTAGTTTTCTGATTCATTTAGTTGTGATATTTTTTATCTCCGCTCTTCATCTTCCTCTTCACTTCAAAAACTCTATTTCCCACAATGCTTCACCCTCTCACTCTGATCTCATCATGAACTGAGAAATACAATCCAATCGCCGCGTTCAGTTTGTCGGAGGAACCAATGTGGTCCAATCAAATGTGGTCCTTTCTGTGTCCTGTTTGTAAGAGCTTTGTCAACTTGTTCCCCAGAAGCTGGTCCCCCTTTGATGATGTCACTCGCTTTTTCACTGTTTGAGAAGAGAGTGAAGCCTCGTCTGGACTCTTTGTGATGAACTCAAAGTTCTTCCCGTTTGAGCTTTGAGCAACAAAATGTCAGTGAAGAAAAAAATAAATACTGACACTGAACAAAGTGGACGAAGAATGAAAAGTATATATTTTTTATTCTGTATACAGTGATCCCTCGCCACTTCGCGGTTCACTTATCGCGGATTCGCTATTTCGCGGATTTTCATATTGCATTTTTTTTTTTTTTGGTGCATTGTGCTCTGCATTCTGATTCGCTAAAAACTCACTCCCGAGCCGGTCATTACAGTTCTCCAACGTAATCGATGGTGGCATGTCGGTGTACAAGGATCTTTTTGCAAAGAAGAAAAAAGAGCGACAACAGCTGCCTATCACTATGTTCTTCTCCCGAACAAACACACCTGCACCGCGGGCTTCAGAAGAAGAGAACACTGCAGAGCGCAGTCAGGATGCAGCGGCCCAGTCTGAAGAGCAGTGAAACGGCCTACACGCGAGTCACTGTATTTGTATACATGTAATAGTTGCTAATTGTAAAAAAAAAAAAAGTTTTCTATTTCGCGGATTTCACTTATCGCGGGTCATTTTCGGAACGTAACCCCCGCTATGGAAATCTAGATTCCAGTATGTTGCATTGCTTTGTTGTACGAATCAAATGTGGTTATGTGCATTTTTCTAATCTAATTTATTTCACAGTATTGTTCTGTTTTCTGCTTCACGATTAAAGTTAAAAGGATGTACACAAAAGTGAATGTGTCTAAGCCTCAAGATCAACTGATGCATCATGGGAATTATGTTGTGGGATGTGGAGTAAGATTATTGTTACAACAGAGGACAACACGCTAACAGAGAAACAACAAGCTAACATAGGAACAATATGCTAACAGAGAAACAACAAGCTAACATAGGAACAATATGCTAACAGAGAAACAACAAGCTAACATAGGAACAACACGCTAACAGAGAAACAACAAGCTAACATAGGAACAACACGCTAACAGAGAAACAACATGCTAACATAGGAACAACACGCTAACAGAGAAACAACATGCTAACATAGGAACAACACGCTAACAGAGAAACAACATGCTAACATAGGAACAACACGCTAACAGAGAAACAACATGCTAACATAGGAACAACACGCTAACAGAGAAACAACAAGCTAACATAGGAACAATACGCTAACAGAGAAACAACATGCTAACATAGGAACAACACGCTAACAGAGAAACAACATGCTAACATAGGAACAACACGCTAACAGAGAAACAACATGCTAACATAGGAACAACACGCTAACAGAGAAACAACAAGCTAACATAGGTACAACACGCTAACAGAGAAACAACATGCTAATGTAAGAACAACACGGTAACAGAGAAATAACATGTTAATGTAAGAACAACACGCTAACAGAGAAACAACATGTTAATGTAGGAACAACACGCTAACAGAAACAACAAACGAACATAGGGACAACACTCAAACAGAAAAACAACATGCTAATGTTGGAAGAAAACGGAAATGCGTGAACTACACGCTAACAGAGAAACACGGTAAGATCAGGAACAAGTTTCAATACTGTTTTCCAAAACGAATGTTACGGCTTCGACCTCGGCGACGGACACATGGTACAATTCCGACTCTTGATGACTTTTTGTGGACAGAAGCCTGACGTGCTGACGCCCGTAGGACTCTGGGAGAATGACTGGCGGTGTGAACCTGCTTGGAGGAAGGGGGGCGATCCAATGACATCTGCACTGCTAATGAGAGGATGGATTAAAACAACTTGCAGATGTCCATAACCACAGCTCTTCTATCTCTGTGAGGGCGTCACTGGGACCTGCTGAATGCGTGGTGTAAAAACGAGTCTGTGAACAATGAGTGTGTGTGAGGCCGCTGCGTGTTTCCTCCCAGCATTACGCTGCTGTGGTCCGGCGGTTTGAATGCAAAGTAAATTTATTAGATCGAACTAGAATATGCAGGAATTATGACAGTGATTTATCCAGTGATGTATCTTGTAGAGAGACTAATATTTAGAAGGTTGTCACGGAACAGAGGCAATTTTATTGTACCTTTACACGTCAGGGAATCTGCACAGCCAAAATGATGAAAAATGTGATTTCTTCTAGAATTTGTCCCAAACTTATATGTTAAAACAAAATAATAATCTTCTATTATGAATCACGTACACAAAAGCGTTTTTTTGTCTTTATAAACATCACATTTATGTCCCTGGATCCATGTAGTTGGGCTGGACGGCAGGGTCTAGTTTGATTGGCCGTGAACCTGAAACTAACCAATCAGAGTCAGAGGAGGGCGGGACTCTTGGCGGAGTGTCGATTTGAAAGAATGGCGGAGGCAGCTCCAGATACCCCCCACCGTCGGCCGTAGCGTCCCTTATTGTTCTGGACTAAAGGGGCCGCGCTGCAGTTATTAGAGAAGTCACTTAATGACGTCACGTTCACATCTTACTGACGCTGTGACGGTTTCTACAGTTTATACTTCATATTATGAACAGAAATGGTGAGTTATGAACCCGAAAAATCACTTTCTAAGTCGGTAACGTTACAGAATAAATGCACAAAGAAACTGAACTCGCTTTGCTCCTTTTGTTTTGTGGTGTGATTATAAACTAACTGTACGTACGTTGTGTTTTATGGAGCAGGAGGAAGCATCAAGCTGAAGGAGAACCATGTGTGTGTGTGTTGACATTATTGACCCCACTGCTACAGTTAAAATAGCTCGTATCCTACTTCCTAATAGAAAAATAAGAAAAGTTAATAACTGTGTTTGCTGTTGTGGTTCTTATTGACAGTATTGATGGAATCTCCTCTGTCTTGAGATTGAATTATTACTTTTAGCTGAAAGTAATTATAAATTAGTAAAGTATTATACATTAACTGATTTAATTAGAATTTACTAAATTTACTTTAATAACTGGAAACAAGTTCTTCTCTCAGCCTGAAATATATCGTGCTCCAAAGGAGAAGCGTATCTTCCTAAATTAAACTGTATTGTATTTTTTGGGGCTTTTGGGGCTTTTATTGTTAAGCGCAGCAGGTTGCTAGGCAACGGGAGCAGCGGAGGTAACGCTGATGACGCAGGCAGGACGTCCCCCGTAGGACAGACCGTCCCACCTCAGAGAGCGCTCGGTTCAGCCTGTGTGGTTGTTGAAGGAGCAGCCCAGGTAGACCTGAAGGCTGCAGCCTAGCGAGTGTGTCACGTCATCAGGAGTCCCCCTAGGAACAAACTCCTGCTCCACCCGC